TATAAATAAAATTTGACCATATTTGTGTAGTTGAGGATTTTTTGTCATAAATTTTTATTTAAACAAAAAAATTATTTTTTAAATTAGTATTCCTTCACTCTCAAACTATATTATCAATTTTTAAAATTATAACTTATAAGTTAGATTTGAGTTAAATAAATTTTTAAGGAGATAAGTGTAACTTTTAAGGAGGCAAAAGAATTTTTTTCCTTAAATAGGGGGCAACAGAAATTTTTTCTAGGGGGCGAAGAAATTTTTTGGGTCATTCCATACAATTTGTTTTTTCTTTTCATGTGGGGGCATTTGCCCCCTCTAGCTGCTAAGTAGGTACATCCCTGCTCACTTGAACATTTGTCTCCTTATCATTTAACATTTGTCTCAAACGCTCAACTGAAATAGATTTGTTGTCATTTAATTTAGTTTAAAAGATTAGAAAAAGATGAAAAATTTCTTGGCTCGAAATTCACGACCGGCTTAATTCACCTCTCAATTTCTAATCAAGACAATTGCAAACAATGTTCGTTCAAACCACACAAGTTTTACCTTCTTATCACAACAATTGAAAATTAGTGCATGAGCTTTTGGCATTTTTACACAAACAAACAGTGAAGAAGCAAATTTTTAAATATAATAAATTAATCATAAATGGTTCGAATATTGATCCTTAAATTAGTAGTTCGTTCAGTTCAATGTTCGGTTTAATTTTTAAAATTTAATCTTAAGAGATAAATTATAGCATATTTATATGCATTGTGCGCGCGCGTGTGTGTATATGAAATGACAACGCTTGAAGAGATTTATAATCTCATGTCTCATGCACTTTTGTCTCTTTATACTTTATTCTTTAACATGTATCTCAAAATGCTTCATTTCATGACTCAAATAGATTTATTGTTGTTTACTTTACTCTAAAAGATTAAAAATATTTGAAAATTCCTTGGCCTGAAATTCACGGCCGGCTTAATTAACTTCTCAATTTCTGATCCAGGCAATTGCCATCAATATACATTCAAACAACACAAGTTTTATCTTCTTATCACAACTACACATTGAAAATTAGTACATGAGCTTTTGGCATTTTTACACAAACAAACAAAAAAATAAAATGGCTATCAAAGATTGAACTTATTAACTAGCTTCCGACAACAATTAATGTAATAAGAATTATACAACAAAAAAGTCAAAAAAAAGGGCTAAAAGAAATTTACCCATAACCCACAAAATATGTCATAGGTTTAAATCACAACATCACTATAAGGTTCTTATTAATGAGCTATCTATAAATACTCTTATAAAAGAAATTTAAATTTAAAAACATATTTTAATCTTTGCAAGCTTACAGATTCAATTCATCTAAATTTTTTTAGCAATAAAAAAATCTGAGAAATAGGTGATACTCGAAAGTGGGGACAATGGCTAGCCAATAGGGGGCTGATAGAAGGGAAAACAAATATTAAAAAAAAAAATCGAATCCACCTCGTAAAAAATATTAATTCCATTCATTTTTTAGGTTTGTTCATTGGTTTTGTTCTCTTTCTCTATTCTAGTTTTTATGTTCTAATAATCACGTGTCATTTAAATTGTCGATTGTAGCAAGGTGTCTTATACACCTTTTGGTTGTTATTCAAGCATATGCTCTTTCTAGCCATTAATATAAGATAAATTTTAAAAGTTTTTTGGTTCTTTAATATAAGATAAAGTTAGAGTAATTAATTTTATTTTTAAATTTTATCATTTTTTATTTATTATCGTTTGAATTCTTAAGCAACAATTTATTGTAGTTATTAATTGAAAAGAAGGATACAATTACAAAATTATATATATTTTTATAATTTTAAGAATATAACTAACATTTCTTGATGGATGTAAAAGTTTAGCTTATATATAACATGAAATTTAATTGGGATAAAAATAAATATATAAGATAAAATTAATTATATCATGTGACCACATGGATTGGTTTATTTACGAAATATCCCTGTTTTATTATGTTCTTGCACATATATTAATTGAAGTAAATGAATGACTTCTAGGAAATTGTGCTAAAAATAAAAAAAATAACATAATTTATTGTAGACATCTTTTTCTCACCAGCCATTTATTTTAGACTCCTTATGCGTTAAATTTTATCCACACAGCAAGCAACATATGGATAGGCATGTTATCATAAAAAATCTTCTTGTTGGCCAAGACACTGGTCTAGCTAGTTGCTAAAAAGAATATATTTGTCTAGCTACCTGAAATTTCTTAGTTTTATATCCTCCACCCCCCCCCCCCAAATTATTGGGTACATTTTGGATATTTGTGGGAAATTTAATACCAGTCGTACCATTTCCATGGACACGTGAATTCTCATGTTTTTTTGACAGCAAATGCATAAAAATTACACCCTCCATTAAAAAATATACGATATTTTTAATTAAATTTTATCTCTCAATAAAATAATTATCTACTTTCAAACTAATCCTATCTTTTTATATTTATTTTTATTAAATACTCTATTTAAACACTTTATAATAAATATAAAATTACATTGATAGGGATACTTTTGAGAAAAATGGCAATGATTACACTTCAAAAGACTAAAAACATCCAACTTCTCAAAAAATATCTTATATTTTTGAACAGAGGGAGTATAAAAAAATAACTTAAAAATTCATTGACTCATGATTAGATCTCAATTAAAATAATAAAATTTAAAGAATATGTATAAAAATAAAAATATTTTAGATGATATTTAATCATTCACACGCAATTTATATTTTTTTTTTTATTAGAGGCAATTAGGGGTGGGCATAGGCCAAGGCTTTTGTGCATCCTAGCCAACTTTAAACCTAGCGTAAGCTCAAAGTTTTAATTAGATCTATTTAATTAAATAAGTTATGTTTTTTTTTTGAGGCCAAACATATGAGTTCAATGAGCTGACCTATTTACACATACAAATATATCTTGTGTAATATATCACACACACATCAGTTTCATCCTTTGATTATTAATCAATCTATTCTTTTTTATTTGTAATTATGTTTTCAATTGAATTGAACTTATATATTGACTTTAATGTTATTACTTTATTATCATATTGTATTGTATTTGGTGAATCCTTTTAATTATTCTATATTATAATTGATAAATTAAATTATATATTATATACTAATAGTTTTAAAGTATATTTGAGATATTTAAAATTAAAATACAAGCCTATTTAAAATATTTACTTTTAAATAGTCTTTCAAGTTAATTCAAGCTTTAGGTAACTTTGGATTTGAGCCATGAAAACATTTTTATATAAATTTCAGGTCAAATTTAAAAATTTAACTTGCCATACAGGCTTGGTCTATTTAGTCAAAGCTTAACTCAATCTAATCTATTTTCACCTTTGCTTCCAATAAACATTTGAACATTGGTTCACTACACCCGCACATAAATTGTCTAATTAAATCAACACAAGTTTTTATCATTAACTAAAATTACCAATAAATCATATATACACCTGCGCAGATCGGATCATAGGCCAATACCCAAGGCACCATATATAACGTCTTTATATGAACAGTTTGTCATGAACCACGAAGCAATGAAATCCCATGTACTTTTGAAATTTACAAGTACACGATTATTAGAAGCAGGTAATGAGAAAGAATAAAGAAAAGAAATGTGTGACTGTGAATATATATAAAAAATTACAAATATTAGCATGAAAATGGTGGAATTAAGGGAGGAGCTAGGAACATCTTAAACCAATAATATTGAATATCTTTTGAGATTGTTTTTAAAATCCACATAAGTGATTCCAAATCGAAGTGTATAACTGGCTTCCCATTCAATGTCATCAAAAAATGACCATGCGTAATATCCCTTCACCTTCACTCCACCCCTGCATCCAAAATTCAGATAACAAGTCTTTGTCATTGTACTTAGCATTAAATTGATTAAAGTAATGGTTCAAAGGTTAACAATTAAAATTGTAGTTGAATCGTGATCAAATAAATTATAAGAGGTTTGTGTGATTTACTCTCTAATTATTATGTTAAGAAATTTTGTGTAATTCTAACTATTATAATGAAAATATATTTAATTTATATGTAATATTTATGATAATTAGTTGATTAAAAAAATGACAGAAAAATCTCCTTAAAATATGTAAATAACAATAAAATTCTATGAAAGGTGATAATTTTTCTTAAATCCTTTGAGAATTTTCTAACATTAATGTTTTGGCAAAATGATTATGATGCCCCTAATTTAAAATAAAAAGAGAAACAGGCAAATCAGATCAGGCATGTGAAATGAAAGCCTTACTTTCAGCATACTATAAAATTATTCAGAAAAAAGTTGAGTATAGGAAACATAAAAGTTAAAACTATATTTATTATGACATAACAAAAAGTAAGTTTCATGGCACAAACGTTTCGCATATGTTATACTTTTGACTAATTATTATTGTTATTATTATGATATTGTATTCAGTCAAAAGCCACCTCGTATTATTGGTGCCTTTTCAATGAACGTCACATTATTATGATTTTAGTGTAACTTTATAAAATACTTTGAACAATGTAATCGTCATCATCGTGAAGCAATGAAATAAACGTGAATGTCGTTAATGATAAACAGGCTTGAGTGTGTTGGGCCAAGAGGAAATATGGGCTGCCAAGGAATGGAGTGAGAAAGAGGCCCAATTCATTTTGCGTGTGGGTATTTTAGATATTATTCCTTCGTTTTGAAGGATTCTTCTTCTTTAATCTTTTTATTTGATTGAAATTTGATTATTGCCTTGTCTTCTTTTGATTTGTATTGCACAGGAATACCGAATACGGGAGTGATGATAATGTGGATTTTTTTTTTTTACTAAATGAATTTATGATTGGCATCTAAAATTGATTTTTGTAAAAAAAAAATAAGAGAAAAAATTTTAGTGATGAAGAATTTATATTATATAATAAAAATTTGAAATATTTATATAAGTTACACTATTCATAACCGATGAACACAATAAGTTGTGATATTAACAACATACACCAAATGTTACTGCATGATCTTGAGATGTCATTTATTTTTGAGATTTAGGAGCACATGATGAAAGATGGAAGATAAGAAACATGATGGAAGAATCCATAGAGCACAATTAATAGTATTATAGGGATTAACGAAGGAGGAACATCTTGAGCCAATAAGCAGAATATTTGAGATATCTCTTGAGATTGTTTTTGAAATCCACATAAGTGATTCCAAATCGAACTGTGTAACCAGCATCCCACTCGAAGTCATCAAAAAATGACCATGCATAATATCCCTTCACCTTCACTCCATCCCTGCACATATGAAGATCGAACCCATTATTGAATTAGTCAATATGTTGTTAGTTTAAAGACCAATAGTCAAAACTATAGTTAAATCATGAATTGACTAATTATGAACAAATTTATTCAACCAATTAAGGCACAAGTTTAATTTTTTACCGGTTCACTCGGTTGAATTGACATGATTTTCAATACTAGAGTCCTTGATTCATTTAATTCATATTTTATGGAAAAAAAGTTTGGATTTTAACTATTGAAAACAAATTGTATTTAATTTTTAAATGTCTATATTTTAAAAAATTAATGAAAATTTGATTAAATTATATGTAATATTTCGTGGATGGACATGCATCAATTCATTAATTATAATAACTTTCGTGGATAAAATTTATTAATTTATTTCTTACAATAATCAGTTAATCAATTTCTTCGTTGTGGTAATATATATGAGAACTAACTTGATAGCTTGGAGAAGATATCTGAGGTGGCCATCATAGTATCTAATTCTGATCCCATCCTTGATCGCTATTTTCACTGGTATAGATGCATTGTTTGCTTCAGCAACCCCTAAAATTTTCAACAAAAATTATATATAAAAGAAATATATAATAATGTTAAAAATCACAAATAGATGAATAGTTTTGGGTACCAACCATTTTCAGTGACATAGATGAGTGGGTCGTTGTATTTATGCTTGACATACAGCAAGAGCTGACGGAGACCCTTGGGATATATAAAAAGCCAACTCAATGCTGTCTGCAAAACCATCCAAAACACTCTTCTGTATTAAGTTTTCTTTTGTCTATCACCTAACTCCAATATTGCATTTTTTAGTCAACCACCTCTCACTTTTAAATTCTTTAACTAGCTTTTATGGAGTGACGCACAGAGATCCGGATTCGGCGAGATTCTTCCTAATCCTTTTAGTGTTTCACATGGCATTATAGATAACTTATGTTATGGTTCAGAGAGAATATATTTTAATCCAACAATTTATATGAATATATCTTAATCCAAATCTGTGCTTATATTTACATATTTAAACATATATATTCCATACATTTATATATAAGATGTTTTTTTTTTTACTGAAGTCCGCGTAGTTGAAATTATATTAAATCATAATAATTTTTCAATTTTGCCCCTACTAATGTTAATTAATATCATGATGGTGATAAATAAAACAAATAATTAATATATTTTTTCTTTTTTTAAGATAAGGACAAAATTATTTAATTATTTAAAAAACATGTTTAAGAACAAAATAAGTTTATAAAAAACAGTTTATATGTAAGGGACGGAGGAAGTAATTATATTATTGAATTTGAGATCTGGAGACTGGCGGAATGGGATTTCAAGTTCACAGATCTCTCTGTAGAATTACGATCCAATAATATATTTCTAATCTCTAATTAAGGAAATAATTAATAAAAAAGAAAGGAAATACCGGAGTACCAACAGGGACGCCATTTCTCAGAGCTGAAATCAAAAGAAAATGAAGATGACGTTTTATTTGTGTTGCGTCATGTTAGTGAATATAACATAACATAATATAATATAGTATAATATAATATGTAATTAGTTTTATAGGAAATTAATGATTGGGTTAATTACCAGAGAGAGAGGCTTGCATATCTGAAGAGAAACTCCGATTAGCAGTGCTGGTTAAGGGAGCATTTTCTGCATAATTAGTGGTATAATAATTGACACCAAGAAAATCATAAGATCCTTTCAGCATTTCTGATTCTGCTTTTGTAAATCTTGGCAATCTATCTTCCACTATAGATCTCATGCTCTGCGGATAATCACCATACGTGATGGGTTCAGCATACCTGCACAAACATAAAATTATTGCTTAGAAACTTAAACTTAGTTTTTTTGTTTGTTTTTTTATTACATACATGTGTCTTTATGTTAGAAACATTCATATTCGAGATATAGTTAGATATTAAATGTGTGAACCTCTTTTGATGAAGATTATAGGATAGACTAGCATATTCTAAGAGATCCAACTTTGTTAGTCAGTTTTCATGGTGTTTTAATATACTATGCAAACGCAAATTTTAAGAGGTAAAAAGCTGTAAGTTTGACTGGACAGAAAAGTAACAGGAAGGAAATAAAAATAGATTTTACCTCGTTTGGATAGCAAGTAAAAGTAGGATGAAAGGGAAAGTGGAGAAAGACTAGCACGTTCTCTTCTCAGTAGTTTTTTATTCAAAAGGAGAAAGATTTGTCTTCAGTTATGTTGGGAAAGGAATTTTCGCAATATGTACAAGTCTACATGAATTGTGATTAAATGATCAACCTGATCGTTAGAAGTGATATTAGTCATCATCTGTTCAGAAAAATTATCAACCAAGCCACAATATATTTTTATTGGGATTGGAACATTCATTTGAATTTTATGTTTAATATTTAGGGTTTTAGGGTTTAGCCAACACTACTTGTGCTCATCTGTTGGTTACTCAAGCTCAAAATGATTTTATATTTATGTTATATTATCTTTGAATAACTCTTGTTAAAGTGGTGGATGATGAAAGGAGATTGTTTGACAAACTTGACTAGCCCATAATCTCTTTTGATTAAGAATTTATTTTCGTTCAAAAAGAAACAGAAGAAGAAAGATTTTGGAGAGAATATATATATATATATATATAGATATAGATATAGATATACACCTTCCAAAAATTACCCCAAAAGTCAGAAAAATAGGTACAAAGTACTTGCCTCTTTTCTGTAAGTATCATTCTTATAGTGAAACTGTGAGACTACTCACTCTTCTTTCCAATTCTCTTGTTATTCCATATATATATATATATATATATAAGAAGAACGACATTTTCTTTCATCTCACTTCTCATATCCTCCAAATAAAGTATAAGAGAGGCAGGAAAAATCTGAAAATATTTGAGAAGTTCATACAAAACATACCATCCGAACCAAAAGTCAAGAGCTCGACTTGCAGCCAGACGATTGGCAGGAGCGTTTGTTTTTGGCTCCATCCAGTGAGTCACTAATGTGATTCCAATTTCTCCTTTCTGATATTTCTGTTTCCAGTGTAACACCCACACCCACAAATACATTAGTGATAATGAAGGGGGGATGTAGGTCTGGTTAAAAGAAAGAGTGAAATCAAGGGGTGCTTGATTTTATATAGTCAAGAGAGTTAAATTGATCAGGTTATCATGGAGTTTTAGGTTTGAGTTCTGAAATACATAATTGCGTTAAATAAATATGTTAAGGGCATGCCCAAAATACTCATGAAATTGTGGTTAGTAATAACGGTCCAATGGTTTGAATTAGTCTAAATGAGAGGACAAGGGTGGTAATATTCCCAAAATTTTCAGAATACTGGACAATTGAATTAAAAAAATAAAAGAAAGGGTGTGAATGGAAGATGCTATTATGGCAAGATGACTAATTATATTTAAGTTAAAGACATATAATCCTAGACATACGCATGTGGTGCAATTTTATATGGTTGCAAAAGTCTAGAAATTTGATTGATAAGTATTACATTTTATGAAGTATCAAGTTGATGACTGAAAGTTTAAGGGTCAAAAATTTTAATCCTCCGTTAAAAAATATAAGACATTTTTAATCAAATTTCACTTTTCAATAAAATAGTTATCTACTTTCAAACTAACCATATTTTTTTATACTTATCTCTATTAAACGCTTTATAATAAATATAAAATCATTTATTAATAGAAATACTTTTAAAAAAAGGCAATAATTACACCTCAAAAAAATTAAAAATGTTTTATATTTTTTAATATTCAACTCCTTAAAAAATATTTTATATTTTTTAACGGAGTGAGTATTACATATCTCAAAAAATAAAACACGCTGACACAAATTACTTTTCTTACAAAAATATGTTTGCATTCTACTTTGCAGCCATACAAAAATACTTTTCATCACAAACTACTCCTTCATAAAAAGAAAAAAAAAAGTTTTTTATCGCAAATTAGGCCATAATTAAAAAATGGAGCTTATTTTTTTTGTAGTGAGAAAGAAAACCTGATATTTTGCCTTGTATAATCTGACAGCATCACCATGAGCAAGAAGCAAGTGGTGGCCCACAAGGTAGGGCTCGGTGGCGGAGTTGCCGGAGGCGCAATTTCCGACGTAGTTAGAACATCTTCCCGGTGCGAAGCTTCCAGTATTGTAGCCATTATTGCTGTACCCGTAGGGTTCATTCAAAGTAACCCAATGCTTCACTCGATCACCAAAAGTTTTGAAGCAAAAATCAGCATATTCATGAAAGTCCCCCCTACATCATCATATATTATATATCAATTGGATTATAATAAGCAAAAAAAAAAACGCAAAATAAAATACTTAATCATTAGGATAAATATTGAGTTGATTGACAATAATTTTAGTTAATTAGTATGACTCACACTATTTTAGGACTGAGAAATCCACCGTACTCATCTTCTAAGGCTTGGGGGAGATCAAAGTGGAAGAGAGTCACAAATGGTGTCAATCCTGTAAATGCAATAATATGTGAGTTTAAAATTATTTTTGAAAATTAGAAGAAAAAAAACTCAGATCCATCATTATTTATTTTTAAAAAGAAAGAGAAAAAGACAGAGAAGTTGACCATTAGAAAGGAGCTCATTGATGAGATTGTTGTAGAACTTAACCCCCAAGGGATTGAGCATTCCTTTCCCCTCTGCAAATAAACAAGTTTCATTTTTTGCTAATCATCATCACTTTCAAGTTTCAACATTAATCTGTTCATATGAAAATAATTAAATAATTCAAAACACTTAGACGAGGATAGATAATATATACTTACTAGGGAATATTCTTGACCAGGAGATGGAGAACCTGAACGAGTCCAACCCTATCTTTTTCATTAATTTTATGTCACTCTACAATTATTATGCCATTCACAAACGTCAATTATTTGTAGAGCCGATATATATAATTTATATGTATCTCTTTGTGTGTGGAAAGATCAGAAATATAAGCAATTATATGATGAAATAAAATTGAAAAGCAAATGCACCTTGTACCGATGATAAAAGTCATCTGCAATAGCACCATTGCTGCGATCCAAAATCTTTTCTGTTTATCAAAATTTATTCTCTTTTTAGCATCGATCTCTTGACATACAATTAGTTTCTTAATAAAAAATAATTATTTCTTTAATTCTTCTACTGTACATAAAATTATGTCCTGAATAAAAAAAATTTAATTATTTCTTTAATTCTTCTTCTAAATCGATGAGCCGTTGTTGTTTCAAATGGATCCCAAGAAATTCTAAACTCGTTGCAAACTTTCTTGCTCGTGCAGTTTCTATGAGGGAAGTGCTCTAAAGATTGGGTTGTCGAGCCCCTGTCCCGATTCTCTTCTTTCCTGGCTACTGTTTGCTCTGTAACTAGGAGTTTCCTGTTCTTAGTTTCGCTATTGCTTTGGCGTTTTTCACTTTGGTATCTCTGTTTTCTTTTGGTCCCAAAAAAAGAAGAAGAAGAAGAAGAAGAAGGTGCGCAGTACAAGTGAATAATTGTTTTAAAAACATATGTAAATGTACTTAATAACCTGGGTGTTGCTTAGTGAAGGTGTCCCATATGCTTGGTCCTCTACCATCAATATTTGCTGCTCCTTCTGACTGAATCATCAAATTTTTTAATTTGGGGTCCGCCAAAGATTGTAGAAAAACTGAAGAAGAAAAGAAGAGATATATACCTGGTAAGCAGCAGAACCAGCACCGAATACGAAGGAGGGAGGGAAAAGGGTTCGATTGAAAGGCACAGAATAATGACTTGGCTTTGCACTCTCTATGCCTCTCAACAAGATGAAGAAGAAGAAGAACAAAACAACGACATAGCTCAACGCTACAACTCTCATGCTTGGCTCTTTAATTTGCTCTTCACCTACTTCAAGAAACACTCCTATTTAAAGTACACAACGATAGTTTATCTCGATCACCTGGGATTATACAGTCATTTCTCACTTATTGAATAAGTCTCTTGATCAGATCAAAAGTTTATTTACCAAAAATCAATTTTATTAGTACAAAATAGGTTATTCAAACCGTCCTTTTTAAATTGGCTATTTTTGCATACAGTTTAGAAAATGCGACTGCCAGTGATATTATTTAAACCGGTTGTATGACCGGTTTAAAAGTATTTGACTTTCTAAATCATCTTTATTTGATCTAGTTCTACATTTGGTTTAGAAAGTAATTTTTACAAAATTTAAATTTTTTTATACTATAGGTATTCATCAAAAATATTATGTTTGTCAAAAGTCAAAAGTATTATGTTTATCAATAGTTCATTTAACTTTGATCAAAACTTTTTTTCAAATATCAGCAATAAACTCAAAAGGTGTTTAGATAATATGTGAATTAGTTGAAATTAGTTCCAATTCATATTTTAAAATTTAAAAGATAGCAAAAACTATATTTGCTAAATGGACTATCAAACTCAAATAGGCTTTCAGATTAACAATAATAAGCACCCAAACAATTTTAAATTCAGATTATATGCTAAGAGTACTTTCAAATAAGAAAAGCTGTGGGTGCGCGCGCGCGTAAAAGCTGTATCCAAACATATTTAACTGTTGTCTTCTCCTTTTTTTAATTTATTTATTTCTTTTTTGACCTTTTGGATTTATACCCCACATTCACTGACATTTGCCGCAATTTTGCAATTTTCTATTAGGTAAATAATGAGTATTGTCGGTCAGCTTTTTTTTTTTAAAAAAAAAAAAATTATTTTCTTCTTTGTTTTGTTTCTAGGGAGAGTAACATGCGAAGACGCAGGCATAGCAGGAAAAAAGGATTAGAAGGTGGGATGGTAACATTAAAGGCTCCACTATATAACACAATATTATAAGGTCTTTGATAACTTGATATAGCAAAATGACAACTAATTAATATGTTAAATTATCAATAAAGCATGAGATATTTAATTGTATTATTGTATCTTAGAAGACTAATGATCTTAAAAAATGGGTTGATTTCTCTAAAGTCTTGACACAATTTTTTTTTAAAACATGACCATACTGCTTTTCTTTAAAAAAATAAATAATTATTAATCCTATGGTTTAACGTCTTTTGATATGTCCTTGTAGTTTCTTTTTCATTCCTTCAAGGTCTTCTAATTTATCTTGTGTGCAATGTTATTCCTTCTATTTTTTTAATATGCCAAAAAAAAACGAGGAAGTGGCACTAACTATGATAAATGTGTTAACCCATGAGTAACATCCTTAATCTTTGTATTGAAGTTATGTTTTAACATAATCAAATGTAAAATATGAAATATAACGGGGTGAATAACATTATTAATCTACTTAATCATAATTTCACTCAACACAAATTAACAGTATTAGTGACAGGTCAATATATTTAACGGCCCTAATAATTCTAATAAATCTTGCCATGATCGCTATCACTCTAATAGTAAAGAATGACAATTAAATTTATAAACTTAATTTTATTAATTAGTCTCCAAGTTTGTTAATAATTCATCGGTTGTGGAGTTCCAAGGCCAGTGACAGTGAAAAAGGGACCTATATGAATTTAAGAAATTAACTTATTTTGTGGTGGTTCCCTGTGACATGCCTATGTCATTTTCTCTTAATTATTTCAATTCAATGCATGAATTGATGATCTGATTCAGATTATACTTGTATAGTTGAGTTTCTCTCTCACACATTTTAATTTTAAAACACCTGTACTTCAAATATCGTAAAATTAATTTCCGCAAAAAATGATCAAAATAAGTTTAATGATGGAGAAACCTACGTTTTTTTTATAAATGAATTCTTTAAATAATTAAACAATTTTAGTGTCTCCATTCAGGAGTCACCTTGGCCTTGAAATGTTATTAGGTGCCTCTTAACTCTTAATTAAACGTTTATGTTTTCAGCGATCGCGATTGATTTGAACAATGTAATTTTATATGGAAGCATGAATTGGCTGTGTATTGATTTAATACAATATGTGGATTTTAAGTTGGATTTAATAATTTAAAAAAATTGATTATATCAATAATGCAGTCTGTAGGAAATAATAAATCAAAAGATAGTTGGTTGAATTTTTTTTTTAAGGAACAAATTAGAACTACATTATAGTTGAATTGTTGTCTCTGAATAAATAAATAATGGAAGAAAGAGAACTAATTGTGACTTAAAAAAAATCGATGATAGTGGGGGAAAAAAAAATAACTTACCCTTCATTTGGATCAAGTGGAAGGATTTTAATAATTCTTTCTCAAAAGTCAAAATAGTACTTACTTAATCAGCATTATTCTCTATACAAGACTTTAAAGTGTCATTTTTCTAAATAAATTTAACATTTTTTATAAAAATAAAATATAAATGGCCAATATTTCTTTCCTTGTAGAGAGATATGCCTAGTCATCAGCGTTTTAGCACAGAAACTGCATTTTTACTAAAACGTTAATGGTTAAGTTCTTAAATTAAAAATTTTTCATTAAAAAAATTAAAAGTTCAATAACTCATACAATTTTGTGAAGGCTGAAGATGTATGTTGCCTTTTAAAATTCAATGCACTATATATAAAAAGCATTAAAGTACAATTTTACCTTTAAATTATAGGTCTAAGAATATTTAGTATTTTAAACTCATTTTTAATGCAATATTTCTCTTTAATATTTAAAAATGGTGTGATGCCATCCATGTCGTTAACAAAACTAAGCTCACTGTTAGTTGACCAAAAAATTATAAAAAAAACTAACAAATTACAAAAAAAATGACCAAAAGTTCTGAATCAATTTTTGTAATTTTTTTGAATCGCTAACAATTAAAGTTACCTTTTTTTAATGATAAATGCATATTACATTTTTTTGAAAATTAAAAGAAAGCATTGTATTAAAAATAAGTTTAGAGTCTCGAACATTTATGGATCAATAATTTAGGGGGAAGTATTATATATTCATAACCTATTAATCTTCCAGTTTGCTATCTCCATATAATATATATGGAGACCAGATTGGGGATTTGGAATCATGTTATATATATAGCTAAGGAAGGGTGAGCCATATATCATTTATTTAAAATTCATAAAAGTACACGATCATCATTTATTTCAGAACATGGCAAATTGGCAAATAATTAGCAACCACGTGGAAATTAATGAAGGAGGAACATCTTGAGCCAATAAGCAGAATATTTGAGGTATCTCTTGAGATTGTCCTTAAAATCCACATAAGTGATTCCAAATCGAACAGTGTAACCAGCATCCCACTCAAAATCATCAAAAAATGACCATGCGTAATATCCCTTCACGTTCACCCCATCCCTGTGAAAAATATTCATATATATAATCAATTTACATGTATAGTTACTTATATATATATGAACTTGTCTTATGTAATATGTATATATATAACACTCACTTGATAGCTTGAAGGAGATTTCTGAGATGGTTATCATGGTATCTGATCCTGAGACTGTCCTTGATGGCTTCTTGAGCTGGTTTTGACACGTTATTTGCTTCAGCGACTCCTAAAATTTTCCACAAACACTTTAATTAAGTGGGGTTCCACAATAATAATATAGAAAGCTTAGCAAATAATTGTAAACTGTTATACCATTTTCAGTGATGTAAATGGGTGGGTTGTGGTATTTGTCCTTTATATACACCATAAGTTGATGGAGTCACTTGGGGGCAATATACAGCCAACTCAAAGCAGTCTACAAAAGTCACAAACCTAGTTCCATCATATCTTTAACATCAACAATGGAAAAAGATAGAGTTTTGTGGGTCTCACGTGTTAGTTTCGGACCACCAAATCTTTTTTCTTTAAAAAAAGTCTCAAAAAATTAAATTAATAATAAATAGATTCTCAATTAAATATTTTTAAAAAATAAGTTATAAATATTGATTCAGGAAATTATAAACTGAAAGTTACATGTTAAACTTAAATATCTTATTTATAATTGAAACTCCTAAATTTGCAATTATGTGAATCATAACTTATTTCAAAAAAATAAAAATAAAAAAGGGAATTAACAATCATACTATATAAACAAAGTAATAGGTCCTATACCAAATGAGGTTTATTACTTTTGTTTTTTTATTAGTGGTGGCACAAATGGCCAAGTTGGAAAGGATGCGTGTACATTATTTAAAAAAAAAAAAAAAAAACCAGAACACAAGAAGAAGGAACATACCGGGGTACCAACATAGAGACCATTTCTGGAGGCTGAGATTGAAAGAAAAATGAAGTTGTATATTAGGTTTTGAAAGATATATAGAAGAACTTTTTTTTTTTTTTGGGGTAATTGATGATACTTTATACCAATATGTAAGTCAATTTGATCACTTACTTGAAAAAGTGACTTGCATATCAGAACTGTAACTCTTATTAACACTGCTAATAGAGAGAGAATTTTCTGCATAATTGGTGGTATAATAATTGACACCAAGAAAATCATAAGATCCTTTCAACATTTCTGATTCTGCTTTTGTGAATTTTAGCAACCTATCTCCCACATGTGACCTCATGCTCTGGGGATAGTCTCCATATGCGATAGGGTGAGCATACCTGCATGAGATCATATCATTAGCTTCAACAACAACTCTCTCTCTCTCTCTCTCTCTCTCTCTCTCTCTCTCTCTCAATTTTCTACGTTAATTTAAGAATGAGATGAAATTTTCACTTTTTTTTTTTTAAATGGCGACATGTTTAGTGGGGGAAAAATTGGTCTCACATGTTCTCATTTATTATTCATTAAATTGTTTAAAGCACTGGTTCAAAGACTAATAATAAAAGTCAGTAGGTCAGAATTGGAACTGTGGTCAGATCAGTATCAATGTTTTTTGTTCACTTACGTACCATCCAAAGAAAAAATCTAGAGCTCGATTTGCAGCATCACGATGGGCTGCATCCCCAGACTTGGGCTCAAACCAG